GACAGCGTGGACCCGATCTGGACCAGCTGCGGGTCCTCCTCAGTACCAATGTTCACGGTAATGATTTAATTCGTTAAGGTTTGACAAATCTCTCCTGCTCCTGTTCAATTAGACGTTGCAAAACCGGAGGAATTTCGTTCTCGTCGTTTTCATCAAAATTTTGAAAGTCTAAATTTATGCAATAAATTAAGGGCACAGAAAAGTACTCAGAAACCACAATTACTTGATTCTCATTAAGCTCATCCAAATCTTCCGAATTCTCGGTTACAACAGACTCAAACGAGAAAGAAAAAGACGACCTGGACATAACTGTGGCATCCGGGTTATCATCCCCAGGATTACTAGACTCAGACTCAGTCGAGCTAGAACCTGCAATTTGTCCATTAACCATACCTGGGGAGGGATGAAAAATGAGAGAATAAAGAATAGAGAGATGTACGGTGAGAGAAACGTGAGAAAAGAGTTTTGTGAGAAAAATTGAGCCTGAGGGCCGAGTGATGTGAGCAAATACATATGTAAGATTGGGTGGGAAACATTACCTGCAGCAGCAGTGGACTCCCAGCAAATCTAGTTGTCTCCCGGCGATAGGCAGAATCCAAGCCCATCAGCGTCTGGGTCTAGGTCATGGCAATGCAGCTCTTTCCTTCTCTCAAGCCTTGAGCAACTTCAATCAGACGAATGTTGGATCCGCCGAAGCCCGGGGATAGCAGAAAGTGAGACAGCAAGCACAAGCAAAGGGCGTGTTGCCGGAAACTTTGCCAATAATGGTTGCTGCGGTCACCGGCGTCAGAAAAGCGATAAATCAAACCAAGGATGTCCAGTTCCCCATTACAGATCAGAGACTAAGCATCACGCGCGGTGAGCCCACACATTCGCCCTAAAGCCTGGGCGTGGCCAAAGCGGAGCTGGGGCAAGATCTCTTCATAGCATTCAAATTCCATCAAAACTTGAAAATCTTCAAAAGTTGAACATACCTCTTGACCGCCGAAGCTAATGACGTGCGTCACCGGGTTCCAAAACCTCGCCGCGGCATGGAGAAAAGGGAGATACAGCGGAGTGTGACTCAGCGTGAATAGTGCATTCAAGCCGAAACCCCGGAAGTTCAACTTTTCCGAGCCATCTAAAGAAGCAACTCACAGCTGCTGACCCCAAACAGATTAGAGCCCTTCAACAATGTTGAAGAGGGGCCCAAAATATGATATTTTACAGTTTATGGCAAACCACAAAAACCAACACAGGTACGGCTAAACCCTCGTGCAAGAAAAGGGCCAAAAGATGGACAAAGAAGCAAGTAGTGGTTGCTGGCCTTAAACACAAAGGGGCATTTCAACAATGTTGAAGAGGGGTCAAAAATATTGCACTTTACAGTTGATGGCCGAACCCAAAACAATATACAAGAATGCTCAAAATGCTATGCAAAATAGGGCCAAAAAGAGAGATAACACAAAGTGTATAAAGGATGCCTCAAACTGTGAAAGACCCTTAATGAAACATGAATATGGGGTCAAAATAAGGCCATTTGTAGTTCGGACCACAGCCCAAAAACAGAAGCAAAATAGGCTAACACAAAATGCAAAAATGGAGCCAAAATAGAGATATAAAGGCAAGTGGAAGATAGAAGCCTCAAACAGCAATGAGCCCTTCAACAATGTTGAAGAATGGCTCAAAATAAGCTACTTTTCAGTTCATGACAGAGCTCAAAAAATCCCCCTAAGCTCCATTGTTGTATCTCTCTTTCTCTCTCTCTTCCAAGCTCCAATCCTTCAAGTCCTATACCCTTTTTCACACCATCACCTAGCACCACCCTTCCATCCTTTATTCCAGCAGCTGGAGGTGATTCTTCAAGGCCTAGGAGTGCTGCAACTCAAGCCAAAAGAGCTGCCAAAGACAAGTCTTCAAGGGTAAGCTCCATTTCCTCCTTTTGGTCCATATTTTGTTCAATACATAAGTCATATTTGCTTGCTGTTTTGGTGTAATGACCCCAAAACATGTGTCATATTTATCAGTAATTAATTATGTGTTTATGCGAATTAATTGAAGAATATCTGTTTGAATTAGAAGAATATCTCTTGAGATGAGAACTTTGGGACTGAAATTGATGACCGTAATGGGTTCAGAAAACAAAATTGAGCGCGTCTATGAGATACCGGGAATTATTAGAACCATTTGGGAAAATAAATTGAGGACTGAATTTCGTCTGAATCGCTAAGTCATGTTTGGCTCAAGATTATGGCACAATTCTAGTTTTTTTTGTGTGATATATCTATACATAGATAAGGATGTTGACTCTTTGACTCAAAAAGAAGGTACTTTGTGTTATAGCTCTCTTTTTGGCCTTGTTTTGCATAGTATTTTGAGAAGGCTTGTGTACTGTTTTTGGCTCGGACACCAACTGTAGAAGGTCATATTTTGGGCCCCTCTTCAACATTGTTGAAGGGCCCCTTTGTGTTTAAGGCCAGCAACCACTACTTGCTTCTTTGTCCATCTTTTGGCCCTTTTCTTGCATAGGAGCTTAGCCATACCTGTGTTGGTTTTTGTGGTTTGTCATAAACTGTAAAACGTCATATTTTGGGCCCTTCTTCAACATTGTTGAAGGGCCCTAATCTGTTTGGGGTCAACAGCTGTGAGTTGCTTCTTTATCTCACATTTAGGGCCATTTTTGCATGCTAGTTTTGCCCTATTTGTGTTTGCTGTTTGGCCTCGCTTAGAACTGAAAACATGCTTGTTTTTGGGTTGCCTTGAATCTGTCTTCACATGTCATAATCAAATAATGCATGCTTGATGTAGCTACAAGTCATTTCATGCGCTTAATCTTGCATTTCGGGACCATTTCATGCATCGGGTGCTATTTTGCCATCTTTCGGGGCTATTTTGCGTCACTTATTGCCTCTGAAATTTGCATGTTTGCATATCACATTTCATGCCTTGCCATGTCTTGTTAGAGTGGCATTTTGTGTCTTAGGATCGGTCATCGGTTTGCGTGCATATGTGCACGCATTCCGAGTTGTTTCATTTTCATCTTATGGCCTCTTATGTGAGTGCGGCTGAGGTCCACTTGTGTTAGTGTAAGTCCATTTATGCATTGTGTATGCCATTTTATTTCATAGCATTGCGTATGCTAGGTTGTATGTTAGCGCATTGTGTATGCCATGTTACCTCGTGCATCGTGTATGCTATTTCATAGCATTGTGTATGTTAGGTTGTATCTTAGTTACATTTCATGCATATCATGCATATTGCATTGTGTTTGGGATAGGGATTAGCCCAAGCACGGGAAACGAGGTACGTTTTGTACTCCAAGTGATGGAACGTGTCTCAATTCCCAGTCACCGACACTCCGGATTATCCATGATGGAGTTAGGTTTTTGTTTTGTTTTCATGCGCATTCATTCCATATTGAGTTGTGCAATTCGACTCCTCGGCCATCATGCATCGATATGCGTGATTGGTGGCACGAGGATCGAGGCATGCATACATTTGTGAAAATACATTGCTATGCCCCTTTCCTGCTCTCTGTTGCAGCAAATCAAGAACTAGCAACCTTCTGGAGCTTGGCGCGCTTTCCAAGAATAATTGCAAAACAGAGGCTAATTGGGGCATCCCAGTGGATTTTCGCGCAAGGCAGCCCGGACATGCATCACACATCAGAAGCAAGGCAGTCCCTGGCTTGCACGCCAGTTTTATTTGCTTTCTTAGTTAATTCATTAATTAATTAGGAATTTTTATATTCGGACTGTATTATTTGGACTGTACTATTTTTCGGACCCTCTGGCAGGCATATTGAATAAGTATGGAGTGAGTGTGATGTATGTCTTCAACCCACGTCTTTTCTTCCCTTTTATTTACCTGCTTATGATGGTTAGATTAGGGTATATTTTCAATTAGCAGCGTATGTTGCATCATTCATCTGTTTTGCATGCATCGGGCTCGGCGCATCATACTAACTGCATTGTATTTTCAATTCCAAGTTGAATACATGTTGGCTGTAGCATTTCATATGCCATGTTTAGAATAGCCGAGCTTGCTATAGTTGCATTTTTGCATGTGTTGCATTAGGCACTTCTGTATAATTAGGATCATGCATGAATTTCTAATTAGTTTCTGTTTTGGCTTGGAGTACTCGGTGAGTTTTATGCTTTAGCATCCTTGCATGTGTGTGAATGATAGCATGCTTACCATGAGGCTAATTGCTTATATGATATAACTGCCTGAATGGCTGTGGGTGAAAGTTGGGTTATTTGAATTGGAACAATTCATCAAATGTGTGTTTTAAGCTCACTAGATAGTAGCAAAATCATGTTTTCTAAGCCCACCCACGTCTTAGCCTACTTGCGAGCAGCACCATCAAACCATCTTTCAAAAACAAACATGAAATGTTTTGTTCCAATTCAGGCGATCCAGTCTATACTTGTATACGCATCACATAGTAAATCTAGGTTAATAACCGGAATAAGAACACACAATGTTTTTCAAAAATAGATATCATGGTTAGTAGAGGCCGATCTTTGATCGGGCGAGCGGGGGTGCTCACGAAGTGACCTTCCCCAATCGTACCCAAGTTCCCGAGCCGAGGCAACTTTGGTGATGACGGACACGTGGCCTTAGGCAACGAGTTAGGGTTTCCTAAATTTCCCAAAATAAAATATTTAGGTGGCGACTCTGTATCTGGCAAAGCAGTCCATGTTTGGCACTTCTTTCAAAAATCTGTTTTCTCAAAACGATTTGCCGGATTTGAACTCTTTGGTTCAAACTTAGAACCGTGACATTTGAGAGTTCTGAGCTGTAGTGAGCCCAATATCGAACGGAACGGGAGCTCGTTCCTCCCGGGACGTTCGGGGACGTCTACAATTATATATATGTTGGAAATATTATATTTATTTATTCATTTATTTTTCTTTAAATTCAGTTTACTTCATGGCAATGCAGGATGTGCCAACAACAGTTTGGTTATTTACCTTAATACATATATTGGCAAAAATAATTTTGTTGTCATTATGCAGGACATTGCCTCAAGAATAATGTCATTTTCGGAGCAGAGACCAAGGGCTCTATGCATCTTGTCAGCCAATGGTGCAGTTTCTTCAGCCACGCTACGCCAGCCTACATCCTCTAGCAGCACTGTAATGTACAAGGTTGAAGCTCTCTAATGCTTAAACTTTTTCTGCACAGAATTCTAAATTCTCCTGCCCTGAACAGTTCAAGTTGAAAATTTGGTTTAAGAAATTACAGTTATTAAATGATCATGAAGTTGTCTAAAATCGTCATGGATGTTTATGGATATAGTAGTAATGCAGTTGCATGTAATTATAAAAAAAAAATTGCATTTGAATGTGTGCATATATTGGTTATTAATAATGCTGGATGTTCCTTATTTTATTATTACTAATTTGTTGTGATCTTCCTCCAAGTAAGATAGGATATATCATTTTATGAAGAAAAAAAATGAGCAATATCTTTAGTATGATGTGGACAAAATCAGGCACATACAAACTTATATTTTGACTTACGATATTATGACATTGGTATACTATGGATGGTGGTAAACTAGCAGGCTATGTTACATGTGGGATGCACATGTCATTGTTTGGACACAGGGGACACATCTAGGGTTTTCACACAATTTGAACAAAATAAAATATAGGTTGAATATTAAAATAAGAGAGAAAAAATATGGATTTGTACATACTATTCCCTCCTTTTACACTTGAAATACTTAAAAAATATGGTTTATTGGTTCGCACCTGTGGGTGTAGATTTGCCTCCGCTCTCCGCTATGGGTAAAATCTTTACCCAATTGATAATTTCAAGGCCGAATCTGACAGATTGAATGCTTTAGTATTACACTTGCATATGGTTGGGAAGCAGCTAACAAGAGCGTGATGGAATATGATTTGTGCTGTGATGATCCTCCAAAATACTGTACAAGCTTTAAGGCAACTAGACTTGAGCATCAGACCTTAGAACATTGCTTTATTGATCGCATTTACTTTTCCATTATTTAAGAACTTTGTTGTCGTTTCTTCTTTTTTCTTCTAATTATTTTGTGCTAACTAAACTTATTTGGGTTTTCAAATTTGACAGGGTCAATTCCAGATATTATGCTTGTCAGGCTCATTCTTGGTTGCTGACAATGGTGGACCTCGCAGTCGAACTGGCAGTTTAAGTGTTTCCCTTTGTAGCTCTGATGGCTATGTCGTTGGAGGCGGCGTTGGTGGCATGCTTATTGCAGGAGGCCCAGTTCAGGTATATTTTTTATTCACTTTTTTGTTCCTTTTTGTTGGTTTTAGTGAACTTTCTGTACAAAGTGTCAACAAGCTTTACACTGCTAGGTTTTTTTAAACTAGATGGACCTAAAAAGTTTTTTTTTTCAAAAAATGAAAAAAAATCCACTAAAGATAATTTTTTTTTTTTTTAAAAAAAAGGGAAGAATGTCAACTTTTTTTTTTTGGTGTGGACTTTGGGCATTTTTGAAACGGTTAAAAAAAAATTTCAAAAAAAAAATAAAACTTTAGATCATTCTATTCTTAGACTAGACAGATTTGAAAAGTAATAAAATTTGACACTTTAAAAGTTCACCAAGGATAAAAAATTTCAATAAAAAATTGCCTTTTTTAAGCTTTTTTTGAGGACCTAAATATGTACATTTCAATGTTTTCCACACTAGTTGATTGGACAATTGCTGTATTTTATGGCCAAATAAAAATTCCACAATTCTGCCGTAATTGATGATGAACATCAATTGTTGTAGGTGGTAGTATGCAGTTTTGCATATGGTGGTTCCAAGTCAAAGAACAAAACAGATGTCGGTCCCAACGGTGAACAGAGTTCAGTGCTTCAACCTAGTGAAGAAGCCGGTCCACCAGCTAGTCCTCCTCGTAGGCAAAATCTCACTCCAATTTCTTCATCTGATGTTTGGCCCAATCTGAGAAACCTGCAGACCGAGATTGATCTGACACGTTTATGGTAGCGGTAGTTGACACATGGCAATTTTGTATATATGTGTTGTTGTAAATGAACCGTGCCAATCAGATCGACGAACTCTTGACCTGAGACCTTGTCTTCTCAGGCGTGTAGATGATGGTCGCGCAAACATGATTGTAACAGCAAGTTTTCTTAGTAGAAATTTTCGGGTAGTTTTTAATTTCACTTTGTGATTTTAGTTGGGGGAACATATCTGCAAATTTGAACCGAGACTTATGAGCTGAATGATGAGGGCTTTGTTGGAAAACAAATCTTGATTTTAATTTGTGAAAAATTATTGAGATTCCAGTTTGATCTCTCTGCTTTATGTGATGAAATATGAAAATTGGATTCGGTAGAGCATTCTAGGTTATTCAAATTCAAGCTTGTCTATGTTGCTTACATTGTCATTATATGTCTCGTTTGCTAATTTTTTTATTTTTTATTTTTGATAATTGAGTGTCTGGCTAGCTTACGGGCATCCCGTTCGCTATGTTTGGATTTATGTTATATATGAATTCAAGTACGGGTGTAGACTGTAGAGCCTATCTATGAGCCTGTTCATAAAATACCAAACTAATCACTACTCGGCAGAGCATGCTAGAGAACAAGAGCTTCAAGAGAAACCCGAACTTTTCCATCCAAATTCCACACCTTCAAACCGAGCTGTCATTTGAGCTAAACAATGGTCTCATTTGGTGTAATTGTTAACCGATTATAGATTATGACAAATTATAACAAATTATAGATTATGACTTTAATCAGAAGTTATTAATCTGTTTGGTGTAGTTGTTAGATAATATATTTAAGTTGTTAAATAGTATTTGTTAAATGTAACTTTTTCAGTTAATTTTTATTTTTTGTTATTCAATACTTGTTTACATTTCTCATTAAAAAAATAAATAATAATAATCTATAGTCTATTTAGGCCTTTCTCCATTTTAAAAAAAATAAAAAAATAAAAAAATTTAAGGGCATAATTGTAAATTAACAAGTCCATAGCAGAAGCTGATAATCATAAGTAAGTGGTGAGCAGCTTGTCAGAATCAATTTTTTTGAGTTAAAATAATTTGTTAGAATCAGAAACTGTTTGAAATAAGTTTAACTAAACAATTCAAAATAACTTTTCTAAAACTAAAAGTTATAAGTTGGCTTAAAAAAGCCCAAACAAACACGCCCCATTGCCACTTGAATTTTAAGATATTAAAATGTGCATAACAATAAAAATAGAAAAATATTTCAAAATTTGAACAATTTAAATCATTTAAAAAAATTTAAAATTATTTTTAACAAATTACACCGCATAATCAATTTCATGTATGCTTGTTTGTAGAAATTATGGTGTCCAAATTATAAAATTATTCTTTAGTCCATTTAATGATTACTAATTTGATAGAGTTAAAATTTAATAATTTACTCATTATTATTTTAATTAAAAAAATAAAAATAATTAATTTAATAAAGATACTAAGAGCATAGGATTTCTAACCTTTCAAGATCCAGCAAGGCTCATCATTTCCACTGAATCTACCGAGGAATCATGAGTAAAATTCCAATTTGATTTTCTATACAGTAGAAAGAAAATACTATTATTGTATTAACACTCACCAAGCTGTCTAGTTTTGAATTTATCAAATTAACAAAAGCATATTTATAAATAATACAACCCTAACACACCCCATTTGTCCATTTCCAACATAATGATAAACCCATGTCCATAATTCATAAAATATACCAAGGTAAGTCCAAAACAACAAAAACTAGTTGCTTAGAAATATCAGCTCCACGAACATGTCCTTATTTGGGACCTCAACTCTATTTATACTACACAATTTACTAGCTAGAAGAAAAGGGAGCAAAAATGAAGAAGCAAGTTGGGTTCTGTTTTGCTCACCTCCTATTCATTTTGAAGCTCAAAAATGCAAACCTAGTGGCAAAATCAAGGGTAAAAAACCTACCAAAGACAAATGCAACACAGATGACGGTGCTGAATGCTGCAAAGAAGGCAAGTTCTACACTACTTACAAGTGTTCGCCATCAGTGTCTGGTCGTACAAAGACAACTTTGACCATAAACAACTTTGAGAAAGGCAGAGATGGTGGGGCTCCTTCAGAGTGCGACGGTGAGTACCACTCTAATAATATGCCGGTGGTGGCACTATCAACCGGGTGGTTCAACAAATTGAAGAGGTGTCACAAAAGCATCACAATCCATGCAAATGGGAGGAGTGTGGGTGGTTGATGAGTGTGGGTGGTTGATGAGTGTGACCATGCTTATCAACCACCATGCAACAATAATATTGTGGATGCATCTGAAGCAGTTTGGAGAGCATTGGGTGTCCCTAAGAAGGACTGGGGTGGGATGGAGATCTTCTGGTCTGATTAATAAGTTCTACAAGTTTTCATTGTGGTGGTGGTCTTACTTGATTACTACAATAAGACTTGTTTGTTTGGAAGCATTTTTCTTTCTTTCTTTTCTTTTTTTTTTTTTGTTAATAATGTGTTATTTAATTGAGATTTTTTTTTTAATTTTTATAAAAGTACTACTATTATCAATTTGTAACTCTCTCACTTATTGATTTGGGTTTGGGGTTGTTTAAATAGACAAGTCAAATCGAATAGCAAGCTTGTTTCAAATAATTGTTTACTCGAGTTTTGCTTGAAAAGTTGTTTTAAGTTTACTCTGAAAGTTATCAAGTTTCAAATAAGTTGACTTTTCAAGTTCATTTTAAATAACTTTAATCTAGACAAATTCAAATAATTGATTTGCTTATAATACATATAAACTTATTGAGCCAAAGACAAAAGATTAACGACGTTTAGGCTTAAATTATTCACACGGCGAGCAAATTGAGAAGATCCTAAGATTTTTGTAGCACACAGGCAAAATATTAAAATGAAATCTTATTTTACCGAGTTTCTGAAAATTTGGAGCCTTATGCAATACAATTTTTTTTTTGTTGGCAGACCACACTGTGAATCCAAAAGGTAGTTCAGGGGAAGATATTTTGGAGAACAGAAGTTATAGACATTGCATTAAACCATCAAAACTTGTTTATTGCTATATTAAAACAACCAATAACTTAATATTATCATATTCCTTATGGCACAAACCAGCAAACATGACATTGACAACAGAACTCATAGTAAAAATTCCAAGTCTGACAGACATCAATCAAATAGGCCTCTAGGGCCTCAAGTCAGAGATAACTTCTGGCCACCTTGGTTCTGGGAGAGAGAGAGAGAGAGAAAGAGAAAGAAAGAGAGAGAGAGAATCAAATCTGTGTTTACACAAATTGAATGTATCATTGTTGAGTGAAGCATTATCCAGTACAAGTCACATGTTTCCCAACAGCACAGAACCACACATCAAGCCTATTAGTACAACTTTACAAAGCCTTAATAGCTTAGCACTACAAAATCCCCAATAGCTGCTTCACATCTCTCTGCAACAATATCACAAAACCAAGAGAACCACATCATCTGAGTATTCCAAAACCTGAATGAAAGTTCCGGAATCAGGTTAACAGTTAAAAGTTGGGTTTTACCTCGATGGTAAGAGGCGAAGTTGTGGGGTAATAGCGATCGACAGCCTGCCCATTCTTGTCAACAAGAAACTTAGCAAAGTTCCACTGAATATCATCTCCAATGATTCCCCATTTTCCTAACTTTAAGAACTTGTATAGCGGAGCTGCATTTTCTCCGTTCACTTCAATCTAACATGAAAATAACAAGTTAAGATGATGAAAGTAGAGCTACAGACTTGATTAAAGATTTCGGACAAAAAAAGATGGCTCAAGAAAAATATGCAAAAATCATGAATTTATATATATTGATTGTCATAGCTTGAAGTATTATGGTTATCCTTTAATGGCTTCAGAGAGAGAGATGACAAAGTGAAAAAAATAAATAAACAAATGACAAACAAGAGAAACCTTTTTTAAGCCTTGAAATTATCTAAAACTACAATTAGGAGTGTGCTGTAAAATAAAGGTTTGTTTGGATTTACCTTATCAAAAATGGGATATTCTGACTTGAAATGAGTGCAGACGAACTCTAAGATCTGATCATTGCTTCCTGGTTCTTCCTCGCCAAACTGATTACATGGAAATGCTAATATCTCCAGTCCTGCTTTAACAAAAAAAAGATCAACTCTTCACTTACTATTTTACACACAAAAAACAGAAAAAAGGGGGGGGGGCGGAGGGTGAATAGACCTTGATCTTGTACGGGTTCGGTATAACTGATTCAGTTCCATGTAGTTTGAACTGGTCATTCCACTGCACAATCGTCCAAACAATAATAAAAAAGTTTATGGGAAAAGATAAATTGAGGATGAATTAAATAGGTAAAATGTCAAAGGGGGAAATTGAGTCCTAAGCTAAGAAATTTCCAATTCTATTTGATCTGGGTAGTATTAAAAAAGCAAATGGGTGTACCATTTAGAAGCAACATTAACAATCAGTAAGACTTTGCCTTTGTAAATGCTCAGATCTACATCATTTCCCTTAGCATCCTGCACACGGAAGTAAACACGTAAAAAAAAGAAAAAGAAAAAGAAAAAGAAAGAAAAAAGAAGTCTCGGATTCAAAATTTAAATAAAAATGGTAGAAAATGTCTAGCTGGAATATCTAGCAACTTCTGCAATTCAATGTGAATAAAGATGTAGTACTTTTAATAAAACAAATACATAAATCCAGTGAGGGATTGAGGATCAAGTCTTACTATTGAGAATAAAAAAATGGAAAACCATAGATTAAGGAGGAAAATAAGGAATAAAACATTAAACTCAAATGATTCCTAAAAGGGGGTTCAGAGGCGGAAGAAATAAGCCCAAAAAAAAGTGAGAACAAAATGAGCTGAAAACCAAAAAAAAAAAACTTGAAAGGCGTAAAACTGCATAACCATTTTTAACAAATTAAATTCCAAAGATCATCAGGATTTTCTCTAAGGGCTTCCTCTGTTTAAGAACACAAGTCACTGTCACTGAATTGAAAATCATCAATGTAATCTTTTCTTCTTTTTCTTTTTTTTTTCTCTTTTTAATTGGTAATCATGGGTTGAAAATCATCACCTAATATGTCCTCACTTGTAACTTTTTCTCAGATATATACCTCATTAGATGTCAACAAGCCTCGCTAGGTTTCTCACCTGGGTGAGAAAAAGAAGAAATGATTGTGTTTTCTCACTACCACGTTTAGATGGATAAAAAACTAAAGAATGTGACGGAAGGATATTACTGAGATTTCTTTTTCTTCCTTTGTATTTTAATGGGCAATCTGATTTTTTTTAAACAACCAGTTTAAAACAGGCAATGTCTTTCTCACCATTTTTTTACCTAATTTATAAACCAATTATGAGAAAGGGGTTTCAATTCTTTATCATTTCTCACCAAATCACCCCATCCAAACAAACTGTAAGCTCCAAATAGATCAAAAAGTAACCTTTTGGGCATTAACTAAGCTCCTTATAGATCAAATTGCAGTAGGGGAAAGAACTTGTAGACAAGAATATGTGGGTTAAATCAGTGAGCAAAGACATGATAAATGGAGCAACAAAACAGTGAAATACAGATTCTGAGCTCAAACAGTGACGTGTGTGTGTGTGTGTGTGTGCGCGCAAATGCTGAAAATGGAAGATCCAAGCAAGAACTCTCAAAATGGGTTGCCTAATGTTCATTTAAACCAGTCAAACGCTAACAAATTTGAGTAAGTAAAGCCACCAATTATCATCTAGATTTGTTAGGTTTCATGGTCATTTTCCAATCCAAAAAAAAAAAGAAAAGAAGAATTTTTTGAAGAGTTGAATAAAAAAATACATACATAAAGAAACAGACCTTGACAGTGAAGGCGTAGACTGATTGTGGTTCCTTGATCGATTCGATTTCCATTTGGGTGTAAAGCTCTGATTTTTCGAGGGAGGGGTTTTTGAGTTGATCTCTCTGCCCTGCTTCTCAACGGGAGAAAGGACAAGAAAGCGATATTTGCGCAACAACGAAAACAGTCAACGTATCCACTTATTAACTAATTTAGGTAACGCAGGGTGGGTGGCCTTGTGGTAAGAAATGGGTATCAAGTTCCCAGGTCATGAGTCTAAATTTTTCTTAGATTAGTTTTTTGGGTACAGCACAGTTAGTTAGGTAGTTAGATTTTAAGTTGTTTAATCAATATTTGATATGAGTTCAATGTTTTTTTATTGTGTGAGTTTTGAATTAAGCGAAGTTTGTCTTGGGAGGTCGGGGCAAGTTCTCAGATTATAGTCTCCTCGCTCGGAACGGTTAACTGGACACCTTGGTGATCTCTACAAAGGGGCGCTGCCTTAGACCTGCAAGAGAATAGGGAAGATTTTTCTGTAAAAAAAAATAATAAAAAAAAACTTATTTAGGCCACGTCATTTATTTATTATTTATTGTTTTTTTAAAATTTAATAAGATTTATTTAGAAGAGTAAGTTGAATTTTTTTTTATATAAATATGAGAGGGAGATTAATGATCTGGTACTGGGCTGGACAGATCTAGGCCAGACAGAGTTTTGCCGGACAGATTTGGGTCGGGCAAGTGTTGGGCCAAGGATGTGTGGCCCAGTTTGGAAAGAAGTTGCTCGGTTAAGGCAATGCTTGGTTGGACCGAACTACATGTTTGATGGAGGCGAAGCCAGTCAAGTTAAGTGACCGGCGCCCGGAAAGGCGTGGTCAGCCGAGGTACCTGTTTGCTCGGCTTTGTCGAGATGTTGCCTAGCTCGATCCTTATTAAGCTTAGCTAGTGGAGTGCTTGGACATGAAGCACAGCATGACCGTTGGCGGACAAGATGGTGCAGCTCGGCTGCCGAGCTCCCAATAGAGTGAGCGGGCAGTTGAGATTAGGTGATGCTCAGCAGGATTTGTGCTGACAGATGGGATAGCAGAGCCACGTGTCGAGGGACCATTGGGAGCAGGTTTGGGACGCAGAAGGGTATATAAGCATGTCTGCGCCCCCCATACGAGTGGGACGAACACTTTGTAAGGAACTCCTACACTCAAACACTCTCTCTGTCCTCTCCCTAAGGTGTGTGCTAATTAGATCGTCGGAGAGGTTTTCCGGCCACACACCGCCGGGTAGCTCACCCTCATTGTGCTTTCAGGTGATCGGACAGAAACGGAGCTTGGAAGAAAGGAGTACGAGCTTGCTGAAATATTTGCTCCCCGCACAATTGGCGCCGTCTGTGGAAAACTTGCAGATAAAACCTTGTCTTCCACGCTCGTCTGACCGCCGACCATGGCGAACAACGAAGAGTTTCCGTTGTCTGCCATAGACGGATCAACCCCGGAGTTTACCTGAATGAGAGAAAGACCTTCCGCCATCCATCCAATGGCGGACTTGGAGACACCCACCGGAGGACAGTCAGGAGACGCGTAGGATAAGCGCGGGAGAAGTTATGGTCATTCACGAAGTCCGGACGGTCATCGGCGGCGGAGAGAATCACATGCCCAACGTCTGGAACACAAGTTGAGGGACTAAGACGCTGTCATCCGACGAATGGCGGCGGAGATGGAGGGACTCAAGCGGCATGTCAAAGGGAAGGGTGTAGCTGGAATGGGTGACCACAGTGAGCACATCCCATCCCGCCGTTCAGGCAGTCAGAGTTAGCAACGCACTCCATCCATTTCTATTACCAGAAGTTATCAGGTTGGTGATTCCGACGTGCATGTAGAGAAGTCTAGCGCGCAAGATAGCACTTACCGGCCCTCACGTCTGGCAATGACGTCGAAGTACTCTCACTCCGCTCATTCAGAGGAATTGCGGGCGGTCTTAACGGAGTGGGCTCGCCGACGTGAAGCTCAGAGGATACCGGCGTTCCAGCGGCTATCCTACGGGGTTCACGCCAGCGAGGAGGTCGGAATGCCTCCACCCCGCCAAGCAGCGCAGCTCCTAGTGGATTCAGATTTGGCCAGGCTAAGTGCCACCCCTTTTGCCCAGGAAATAGAAACAACACCGCTTCCAGCAGGCTTCCACCAGCCAAAGTTCACGTTTTACGATGGGAAAACCGATCCTTACATGCATGTGAGCCACTTCCGACAGGTTATGGCCGGACATAGGCGAAACGACGGACTTATGTGCTTGATCTTCCCGTCAAGTTTAGGCGAGCTGGGCTTGAAATGGTTCGAGAGGTTGCCGGAAGGGAGCATACAACGGTGGCATCAGTTGGCCGAAGCCTTTGTGACGCGCTTCAAAACCAACACAAAAACACCAAAGGAAGTCGATCATTTACTGAGTGTCAAGATGGAACCGAGCGACACATTGAAGGCATACAACTCTAGGTATTGGGAGACCTTCAACGAGATCTTAGATTGCCCGGTCAACCTTGCAATCACTCAATACAAGCGTGGTCTCCCGGTCGGATATAGACTGCGGGACTCGCTTACCATGCACCAACCGACCTCCATGGGCCAGCTCATGCAGCGCATCAATGAACACATCCGAGTCGAGGATAATGCGTCAGCATCTACCGTGAAGGCAACTCCGGTAGCAACAGACAAGAAGACAGCAGGCAAAGTGCACGCAGTTGGGCAAGAGTCCAGCCGCTCAAGTGACCGCGCAGAGGAATCGGACCGTGGCTCGAATTGCAAAAGCCGCGGTAGAGGACGTCGAAATGACCGGGATGACTACCCCCGAGATGACGTATCGGATGCAAACAGACGGTTGAAGGCAAGGACTGGCATAACCACGGTCTTAAAGATTCCGATCTATCGCATCCTTAGTGAAATCCGAGACGAGTATGTCCGGTTTCCTGCTAAGTTGGGCGATGGACAAAAAGGCTACAATCCGCAGTATCGTTGCACGTTTCATCGGGAGCGAGGCCACCGGACAGAGGATTGTTTGCCATTAAGGCAACACCTGGAAGAGCTAGTCGCGGCTGGGCACCTGGATCTTTACATTGATGGGGGCGTCAAGGCAAATCAAGTTCCGGTTGATCCGCGGGGACCGGATGACTGAGATGCACCTCCTCAAGGGATTGTGAATGTCATCTACGGCATAGTGGAACTGGCGCGTGTTTGCGAGCTCCGTGGTATGATCAAGAAGGCAGAGCACATGAGGGAAGTTTTGTCAGTTCAGCCTGCGCTCAAGAGGGGGAAGACGGAAGTGAAAGAGGTGATCAGTTTCTCCTCCAGGGACTTGGAACGCATTCAGACACCGCACAATGATGCCTTAGTAGTAACACTCCGCGTCAAAGATTTTGAAGTGAAACGGATCTTGATCGATCAGGAAAGCTCGGTTGAGATCATGTACTACAACGCTTTCCAACAGCTCAAGCTCCGAGATACGGATTTGGCCCCGGTGACATCGTCGTTGGTTGGTTTCAACTCACAACCGGAGTGGCCTTTGGGAAAGATTATCCTGCCGGTCAAAGCTGGGTCTGTGGTCAAACAGGTGGAGTTCTGGGTATTACAGGTACCATCTACTTACAATTTGATCCTTGGAAGGGGGTGGCTTCACGCTATGCAAGTCGTGGCATCGACTTTTCACCAAGTAATGAGGTTCCCCTCGGCTATGGGGGCAATTGAGGAGATTTGGGGCGATCAGGTCATGTCAAAGCAGTGCTTCGTGGCGGTCAACGGGAGTCGGGCTGCCAAAGGATTTGTTCAAATGATTGAAGGACCGGAGGACCAGGGTGTCTTGGATGATGTGGGTAGCAAGGCCAAAGACAAAGCTGTTGAGGAATTGGTGAAAGTGCGAATTGATACAAAGCAGCCGGACAAGTTTTTCTTGCTCGGCTCAAGCCTTACAGCCACAGAACGGACCGAGATGGTTGAGTTTTTGATGGCCAACATCGAAGTTTTTGCATGGTCGCCTTACAACATGCCCGGCCTCGATCCTAGTTTTATTTGCCATCATCTCAATGTCTTCCCCGGAGCCAAGCCAGTCATTCAGCGAACAAGGAGATCGGCGTTACATCACGCCGAGGTAGTTGCGGAAGAAGTCAAGAATTTGCTGGAGGCACGAGCAATTCAGGAAGTACACTATCCTCGATGGATCTCAAATACAGTGGTGGTACCGAAGAAGAATGGGAAGTGGCGGGTTTGCGTTGATTACAAGACCGTCAACCGAGCTTGTCCGAAAGATAGCTTTCCTTTGCCTAGAATCGACCAGCTTATGGATTTGACGGTTGGACATAACAGGCTAAGTTTCTTGGATGCCTACCGCGGCTATCATCAGATTGCCATGCATGGCCCCGACCGAGAAATCACCTCGTTTACTACACCAAGTGGACTCTTTTGCTACCGAGTCATGCCTTTCGGTTTGAAGAACACCGGGGCAACTTTTCAAAGGATGGTGACCAAGATGTTTTCTCCTTTGCTGGGCCGGACAATGGAGGCCTACATTGATGATATGGTGGTTAAAAGCCGGCATCAGGCAGATCATTTGTCCGACTTGGCCGAGACATTCGCCATTCTCAAAAAGCACAAGCTACGCCTGAATGCGTCTAAGTGTGCCTTCGGCGTGGGATCCGAAAAATTTTTGGGATTTTTAGTCACGAACCGAGGTATCAAAGCAGACCCTACACAAATTCAAGCCGTGCAAAAGTTGAAACAGCCTAGCTCGGCAAAAGATGTGCAGCATTTGGCCGGAATGGCCGCCGCGCTTAATCGATTTATAAGCCGGTCATCAGATCGCTGCCGCCCTTTCTTTCAGTCCTTAAAATCAAAGTTCTCCTGGGATGAAGAGTGTGACCAAGCTTTGGCCGAGCTCAAGGAGTATCTTTCTTCAACGCCACTGTTGGTCACACCGGAGCCTGGAGAAGAACTTTATCTTTATTTGGCTGTATCACAGCATGCAGTCAGTGCGGTGCTTGTCCGGGCTGAAGGAATCAAGCACCTCCCCATTTTCTATGTCAGCAAAACTTTGCTACCGGCAGAGTCAAAATACTTGCCGTTGGAGAAGCTTGCTTTGGCATTAATGATGGCTTCAAGAAAGTTGGCGCACTATTTCCATGCACATACCGTCATTGTCTTGACCGAATTCCCCCTCAAAGCTTTATTCGAGCGGGCAGACTTCTCCGGTC